CAGGCTGGCCTCAAACTCAGGGATTCACCTGCCTCTGCTCTCAAGTGCTGGTAGGATTAAAGGCATGCACCACCATCTGGTTAAAAGGATGGCTTTTAAAGACATTACTCATTAAAACCTTAAAGGATTCTGTGGAAATAATAGTGGTTTGGGTTTTTTTTTTTAACCATTTTATCAGATGTGCACCTGAGGAGAGGGTTAAATAAAGATGAAAATAATGAATGGTCCTCAACCCAGTATAGCCTGACCATCTTCCCACTTAGCCATATCTAAAAGTATTCCAAGATTTGTACTCGAGTTACCTTGAATTTCATGTCCACAAAGTAGTCAGTAATAATCTTAGCATTTTTCCGAGACTGTTTCATGAAACTCATGTTAGGTGGCTTAATAAATATGACATAGGGCTTCAGGTCATGGGTTCGAGCCAGCTGAATATCCTACACAGAAAAATTAAGTGCGCAGTTAAAGACAGATGTGGGCCAGCAGGACAGCTCAGCCAGCAGAAGCACCTGCCGTGCGGGCCTGCAGAGCCCAGTCCCATCCCTGGAACCCACCGTACAAGATCGGGCCGACCTGTGAAAACTGTCCTCTGGCTTCCACACAGCACGTTCAAATACACCTCATACATTTTTAAAAATCAAAAATAGAGGTCCTAGCTTCCTCTAGTCAATGTGATCATAGTCTCATGTGTCCCCAAGTTCTCAATTATAAAATCGAAACAACTGAATAATAAATATGGCTCTAGACTCCAAGTTAAAATCCCAGCCCTTCCTCTTTCTAGCTAATACTAGCTATTGAATTATTGAAATAAATCTTATACATGACAAAATGCTGATTACCGAGAGTAGACTCCTGTGTATGACCTCACACGACAAAAACAAAGAAAAATTCAGGAAAGGTCTATTTACCTCGCCTCCCTTTCCTCTAGCTAGCACCTCGCATTGGACACCACTTCCATCTTCATGACCCCCAGCTCTGACTCAGGAAAGAACAAATTGCTTTTCCTCTAATTTTTTTAGCACACAAAGTGTATTCTTAAATGAATAAGGAAAAGTGCAAGGATCGGAAAGCTGGGCCTGGATACACAGGGATCCTACCTCAGCTAGTGCATCCCTGCTCTCTTCATACGTGGTCCAGGCATGTCACACATGTATGCCAACAGTGAGCATTACCTTTTGTACAAAGGAATATCTTCACAAGAAGTTTCCTTGACAAGTTTGTGATCAGTGTCAAAGCCGGGAAGTGTTGTTTTTTTTTTTTTTTTTTTTTTGCTTGTTTGTTTTGTTTTGTTTTTTATTTATTTTATGGCTATCCACTCAAGCTCTGGTTCTGGGTGTGAGAAATAAGACTTCCCCTCCAACTAAAAGCAAAATGTTGCCAATTTGCTTTTCAAGGAACAACCTGGCCCTGAGATACAAGAAGTGGTCTTACTCTTAAAAATCTAGCTGAATAAAAGTCTCAATTAGCCACGCAGTGGCGGCGCATGCCTTTAATCCCAGCACTCGGGAGGCAGAGCCAGGCAGATGGATCTCTGTGAGTTTGAGGCCAGCCTGGGCTACAAAGTGAGTTCCAGGAAAAGGCGCAAAGTTACACAGAGAAACACTATCTCAAGAAAAAAAAAAAAGTCTCAATTAGAGCCTGGGGCATGTGCACAACATAGATTACATTACATGCATTTGTGACTTTAGAGTGATGGGAAATATTCTACTGCAGACCCACCTGAGGCTCCAAA